AGGGCAACAAGACATCACATTGGCGTGATATGTATAACCAAAGGAAGAAGGATGTTGGTCCCCGCAACGGTTGTTAATCTGCAAGGACACTAGTCATATCTACAAGGATTGCCCTTCTTTGAAGAAATTTGGCGCCCTAATTGTGGCCGAGCGGAAGCAAATCGAGGAGAGAGTCCAAGCTGATGAACAAGCCGAAGAAGCAGTTCAACAACAGCCGAACATAACTCATCTTGGCAACATGGTACTGGGCGTGGTAGTAACCAAAGAGCCTGCTTTGAAGCAGACTGCTCACGGGAAGCATGACATTGCCAAATTGGTTCACTCGTTAGGTAACCCTGTGATAGGCAAGGAGCCCCGAGCGAGGGAGACAGGATCCTTGTTCGTGGATGCAAGATTGAACAGACAGTTTGTCCGTATCATAGTGGACACCGGCGCGACACACAATTTTGTGTCCGAAGCAAAGGCTAAGTCACTTGGCCTTGTAGTTGGTCCAAGCTGTTCCGTGCTGAAGACGGTAAACGCCAACCCCAGACATGTATTGGCAGGGAAGAGTGAGTTTCTTTGTCTCTCCCATGGATATGTTCGATCTGGTATTGGGGCTGGACTATTGGGATGAAGTGAAGGTCTTCATCTGCCCAAATCTCAACCAGATTTACATTTATGACCCGAAGGGTCCATATGTGGTACCGACAGTTCAGGTGCCGCAAGTTGTTAGTCAGCTGTCCGCGATGCAAATCGTGAAAGGCTTTAAGAAAAAGAAGCCACAGTTTTGGCAGTCGGGACAAAGACTAAGGAGGACAAGTTGACGAAGCCTTGCCTCCAGGTGAACATCGAGTCCTTAAGAAGAATAAGGACTCCATACAGGGAGAAAAGCCACCTGTCATGGGTCCGTATCGCATGGCGCCTCCAAAGTTTGAGGATTCAAGGAAGAAACCCAAAGAGTTTCTTGAGTCGGGGCATGCTAGTCCATCAGAGGCACCCTTTGGAGACAAGGGTGATGTGGAACGGAGGCAATCCAGCCAACCAAATATTTTCATAACCCCTTCGGTCGTCGACAAGGAAGTCGAGGCCATTATCAACCATCAGTTGGTACAAGGCGTAGGTTGGGGCAATTCAAGCGTCCAATTTCTTGTCCATTGGAAGGGACAACCACCCGGGAAGGCATCATGGGAAGGATATGTGGATCTATGGCCATTCAAAGATCTAGTTCATAATTACTTGAACCTTTGTGGCGCCACGGTCGTCGCCATTTCAAGTGGGGGAGAGTGTACCGCCCCGCAAATTTCCTGACCAAATTTGCCGCCTAAAGGGCTGCAAGCCGAGCCAAACTTGGCTTCCAAAGACTAGAAAGTCTTTGCACATGGAGGCAACAATCCCACAAGCTATCAGGGCCCTCATGGAGGCCACATTCTGCCAGCAATATCACATGGTGCACAGCTGGGTAGGACCCCGGCTTGCTAGGACAATCATAGAGGCAATTATCTGCCACCAAAGGCATGTGTTGCACACTAGGTAGGACCACAACCTGCCAGGACAATCAGGGAGACAACACTTTGCCAGAAAGAACTGGGGCAGAACAGGTGGACATGACCATTGGCACAAAGGCTGCCAACACAATCATGGAGATCACATGATGCCAGCAGAAAGCTGTGCAACACAGCTGGACGGGTCCACTGCCAGCAAATCTGTAGTGGACACTCATTGTATATATAGACATGTATATGCCTTGTTAGAAGGCAGATCTCATACACTTGTGTTTCTCTTTTGTATATCAAGTAAATTCGAAAATGGCCTTGGCCTCCCGATCCTTGTGTGTCTTTCAGTTCATTATCTTCCCAACCTTTTGAGTTTGTATGATTGCCTTGGTTCAAGCACGACATTGTGCTTATTTCTTGGTTAGGACTGAAGCTAGAGTAGCAATCAGGCTATCTTGCTGTCTGCATGGAGCCCTTAGAAAACGGTCACGTGACACGATGCCCTCGCTAACCTACGGTCATCGGTTGAGGACGACGAGTTCAACTCGGGGGCAATCATGCAACTTATGAGATCGGTAGTGGAAGAAGGTCATGCCGAGATTAACTCTACGAGCCTAACTTGGGACTGGAGAAATAAATATATAGAATACTTGAAGACTGAAAACTACTGTCGAATCAAAAGGAATCGAGGGCCCTACGTACAAAGGCAGCCCAGTTTAGCCTATCCGAAGATGGAACCCTATTCAGAAAAATATTCGATGGCCCACTCACGATATGTCTAGGACCTGGAGACACCGAGTACGTTTTACGGAAAATCCACGAAGGCACATGTGGAAATCATTCAGGCACCGAATCATTGGTTCAAAAAGTAATCAGAGTCGGCTATTGCTAGATCGATATAGAAAAGGACGTGAGGGAGTTCGTACAAAAATGTGATGAATGTCAAATATACGCTCCGAGGATTCATCAGCCCGTGGAGCTGCTGCATTCGGTTTTGTCACCATGGTCGTTCATGAAGTGGGGGATGGATTTTGTTGGGCCCCTTCTATGGGCACCCGGTAAGGCTCAATTTATATTGTTTATGACTGACTATTTTTCTAAGTGGGTGAAAGCCCAGGCATATGAGAAGGTCTGGGAGAAAGAAGTCATCGATTTCATTTAAGACCATATCATATGCCACTCCGGAATGCCGGCCGTGATCGTGTGCGACAACGGGAAATAATTCATCGGTAGTAATGTAAGTAAGTTTCTCGAAGATCATAGGATTAAAAGGATCCTATCGACATCCTACCACCCTAGTGGGAATGGACAGGCAGAATCGACCAACAAAACAATACTACAAAACCTCAAAAAGAGGTTAGTTGATGCCAAGGGAAAATGGAAGGAATCCTACCCGAAGTCTTATGGGCATACCGAGCGACCTCGAAGTCCAGTACCGGGGCCACCCCATTCTCACTGATCTACGGCACCGAAGATCTAATACTGGTCGAAGTCGGAGAACCAAGTCTCAGGTTCCGATATGCTACCAAGGAATCAAACGACAAGACGTTTCAACTGTTTTGTCGTTTCTGCCATGTGGTACCGAAGAAAGAATCAAAAGGTCACTTCGTTTCTCGTCGTCTACTATCCGAAAAACTAGGGGACTATCTGTATATGGTCAGAATTAAGCTCGCCTACGACATGGCAGGTTAGGCTCGGAACATGACAACCAAAGACTGAAGATCGACCCCGAATCCCACCGAGCTACACCCGAGGTCAGAACGCCTGTCTTCGAGAACATTAAGTTAGTAATCTCGGAGTCGACCTTAGCCCCGATCGAGCTCGGAGAAACATTGTCAGCATAACCAACATAAGACCGAAATATCCGTGACCGGTCGGATATTACGGCGGGAATCTCGGCACGAAACAATAATGAACCAGCAATCAGCGAATCAAGAGATCTTTTACCTTTTATATAATTGTACCTAAAGTAGGACTCCTCTACTATATAAATGGTGGTCTGATTATTCATTGGATACATTGTAACACGCATCCCAAAGCAATATATTATTCTATTTAAGTTCTTATTATTCTCTTGTTGTTCTGTTCTGATATCAACAAATTCCCTTCTGGCTCGAGGGTGGCTAACCTTCCAAGGCTAAGACTGTTTAACTTGTGTGGTTTGTATTTACTTTTTCATTACTTATTTCAATTGCAATCTGATTTATCATTTTGTATCAAGTTATATCACGTATCCTTAAAATTACTTATAAATTCAATTATTATCCGATTTTGAGGGTAAATAAGATGTTATTGAACTATTATCATGCTTGACCTTAATAATGGATACTTAGTTTCTTACCGTCACCTTTTTCCCAAAGACTGAATTAGTAAATATGGGATCATAAATTTCTACATTTTGTTAAAAGGAAATCTCTTTTATCGTTAGTGTCAAGTGAACAATACAGAGTAAATACACTACGCATTCACCCCCTAGTAGTAATCTTTGTGGAGCGCGTGTTTAATGAACACGCTTATAATGAAGAAGTATGTGGCGAGCCGCCATGAGTCTGGGACTGTGAAAGCAGGCTTTACACGTGTTGCTTTGATACAATCCCTGGTTTTGGACCAACTTGCATGTCCCGCCTTATCCTTTTTCATTTTGGAAGAATATTGTTCGCCATAAGTTATCAAATGACTATAGTACCCTCACGAGTCGGTTTTTCTTTTAGGTTGTTCTATACCTTCATTCCCAATTTAAATGATCGAATTTGACTTGCACAAACTTTAAGAAATTCTTTTTAAAAGTTGAAACTTCTAATTTTTAGTTTTTTTAATACTTTGTGTATAGATATGGAGTACAAAATTTTGCATTAGACAACAACAAAATCAAGATTTCAATATAAGTTAACTTTAGAAGATTACATACTCTCTTCCCGTTTCAATTTATGTTAACCTATTTTCTTTTTGATCTGTTCAAAAAAGATAGAATATAATTATAGTCATGGATCACCAGATAAACCAAGATAACAACATATAAGTATCCTATTTATAAAAAGGTTCTGAACAGTATGAAAAAAAAAATTAAATTTCATTATTTAAGTAAAGCATAGTCAGTTTCAAGCTCAAATAAAAAGAAAGAAAGAAATATTCCCCGTATCAATATATGTGGTGGGATTTGGTATAAGATTTAAAAAATAAAATTTTAAATTTATAATCTAAAATAAATCATAAATTTATGCGACTGTAAATCGTTTCATTAAGGATATAATTATTATTTTAAATTAAAATATTATTAAATATAGAAAGCTAATATTTTCTTTTCTATTGGTTAAAAAGGGAAGATACAAAATGTGATGGGGGAGTATGATAAATGGGCAATCAACGTAAAGATAATTTAAATAGTAATGTCTGGATATGAGGGTAAATTGGAGATTACAAAAGTAGGTGAATGAGCTTTTCCCAAAGTCTTGAAACAGCCAAAGAGACTTGAGATTTCCCAGGATACCACTATTTGTGAAACCACTTGCAGCGCCCCTTATAAACTACAACTCCCTCTCACATGGAAAACTCAATTCATTCATCTCCTTCCCATATAAAAACTCTTCCCCTTACAATTCCCAAAAACCACAATACAACTCCATTCAAATCCTATAGCAAAAGACATAAACAGAGAGTGATATTAAACTATGCGTTTAAGCTGTAATGGATGCCGGGTTCTCCGAAAAGGCTGCAACGAAAAATGCTCCATTAAACCCTGTCTTCAATGGATTAAATCCCCTGAAGCACAATCCAACGCTACCCTTTTTCTCGCTAAGTTCTACGGCCGTGCTGGTCTACTCAATCTCATCAATTCTGGGCCTGACCATTTGCGTCCTGCTATTTTCAGTTCTTTGTTGTATGAAGCATGTGGCCGTATTGTAAATCCCATCTACGGTTCCGCTGGTTTGTTAACCTCCGGTAACTGGCAACTTTGTCAAGCTGCTGTTGATGCCGTTCTAAGCGGCGCGTCGATTGAAAAACTTTCTCCCGACTCGGCTGCAAATACCGTTTGCCCGTCGCTCAAAGTATGTGACATCCGCCACGTGTCCAAGGAAAACGATTTAACTCCCGATCTGCACAAGGTGAAGGTGCGAACTAAGTTTAAGCGCGTGTCGGCTAAGCCGCAGCAGAGGAATCAGTCGCCTGAGGTTGACTATGCGGCTCGGGTCATGTGGAGTTGGTCTCATAAGGAGGAGGAAGTAATCGGGTCGCCGAGCCGAGACTCGGGTCTGAGCCAACAACGGGAAGGAGAGAGCGGCGACGCTGACAGCGGCTCGGTGGAGACTGTTGAAGCCTCGTTGGCTAAGTTAGATGAGAGTGATGTTGGATTGGAACTGACACTGGGGTTGCAGCCGTTGATGAAGTCGCCAGAATGTGGGGCCACCAGAAGTTGATGAAGAAATTAATGGTCTGGATTAAGACACGTATACAATATAACGGTAGATCAGCTCGAGCTTGTTTTGATGGCTGCTTTAAAAAGATGACTAGATTAGTAGGTTTCTATTTCTTTTTTGTTGTTTTTCTTTAAAATTCTTTGTGCGGCATGTGGAATGTGAATGTTAGATATAGAGAAATTAATATACATATATCCGAAGTTAACTGCCCTTTCATGTTTCGACCTACTTATTTTAATTACATGTTTTAAGTTGCATAATTTTGGGGTTTTGGATGTTTCTATTCTTGTGATATTACTTGTTTATTTAAGTAGGGATGACCTTGTATTCAAGATAATATTACGAATAAACTCAGGTAGATGTGAAGCCAAGATGTATGTAATAGAAAAAAAATTGAGCCATGTTGCGCGTGTAACTTATGTCCGATGGGTAATAGATTTTAAAAAATTACATCAAAATTATCTATTGAGTTATAAAATAAAAGTAAAAATTATCTACTGAGTTATAAAAAGTAATTTAAATTCCTTGAAATAATGGATATTGATTCTACTGACCAAACTTAATAACGTAAACAATATTATTCCACATAAGTCCTCATAGCCTCAACTCAAATTATTTAGTAACTTATTTTTTGTCAGAATATTTTATTTTTCTAAGAGAATGATTTGAAGTCCGAATTGGATATATATACTAATTATCTCTACAGTGTGCTTGTTCAGGTGGGATTTATATTTAGAAAATTCTTTTAGTATTAGTTAAATTCAAACCCTAAACATTTCTTCCTATAAGTTTTGGACTTTGAAGCCCGTCTTTGTAGTTTTGTAACCACGCATCATATTAGTAGACTCTATCATTCCATATAATTGAAAATTATTATAGATATTTATCAAAAATTAAATCAAAACGTATAATAGCTAATTTTGCAAACAAATCTCTATTTTTTTCCTTATAAATATGGTTCTCGCAATGAAATATTTATTTGAACATATAATATGTAAAAACATGTAATAAAACCTTAACAATATAAATGAGAAAAATTTGAAAAAAAAAACTTGCCTTTAAAATCCCGTCCTAGTCGGCTCTGACTTTCAATCACACGCTCCACATAAATCTTCCTTCATCTGCACAATAATATTAAAGACTCGATCAAGAATTACTTACATAAATTTGTTAAATATACATTGTTTGAAGAAAAAGTCTAATAACTTTACAAAAATAACAAATATTGATAAGGAAATAAGTAGAAAAAGAATAGCAGTATCCATAGAACATTAGATAAGAGAAAAAATTTAAATCAAAACGTACAATAGCTAATTTTGCAAACAAATCTCTATTTTCTCCTTATAAATATGGTTCTCGCAAAGAAGTATTTATTTGAACATATAATATGTAAAAACATGTAATAAAAACTTAACAATATAAATATGAAATAAAATTTGAAAAAAAAAACTTGCCTTTAAAATCTTGTCTTAGTCGGCTCTAAGTCTCAATAACACGCTCCACATGAATCTTCCTTCATATGCACAATAATATTAAAGACTAGATCAAGAATGACTTACATAATTTGTTAAATATATATTGTTTGAAGAAAGTGAGAAGTCTAATAACTTTACAAAAATAACAAATATTGATAAGGAAATAAGTAGAAAAAGAACACCAGTATCCATAGAACATTAGGTTAGGGAAAAAGTAGAAAAGATTTGGCTTGTTTTGCACCTTGAACTCATGTTGATGGGAACTAAAAATAGGATGAAATATTCCAACGAAGTCAAACCTAAAGAAGCCTAAACCTAAAAGAAAGTAACACGTTAGTAAAGACTAAAGAATGCTAATCCTAAACAAATAAAGCCTAAAGAATCCTAAACTTAAATAAACTCATCTCCAATAAAAACGGTGATACACAAGAGTTTTTGTTTTATCCCCAAAAACAAAATAAAAAAATTAGTAGCGATTACAATTACAATTATATCCAAAATAAAATATATTTACGAAGGTTAAAAAAAACGAACGACATTTCGATAAGGGTTTCGTATTTTTAATATAGTATAGATAGATACTTAATATTTTTGGTGTTTCTTATCTTCGTAATACATAAGAAATTAGAATAATGTTTTGGTGCGTCACCAAGAGCTAGCTTCCATTTTCTTGGTTAGTAGTTTATTAATTAATTAAAGACCTCACAAAATATTATCTGATCAATCTTTTCACCTTTTGTATCATGCAAAAAGAAGTAGTTAGAGGTGTTCATATAAAACCCGAAAAATCAAATCAAACAAACCGATACTTTTTAGGTTTGATTTTGAATTAAAAATCGATCAAATTTGGTTTTGTTTTGGTTTTAATCAAAAAATAACTGAAAAAACCTGAACCAAACCGATTATAAAAGTAACTATTTTAATTTATTATTACGCCTATATATATATGTATATTTTTATATAAAGTTTCTAAAATTTTATGGTACATATTAGTCGTTTGTATTTTTAGTTTAATTCTTTGCTATTATAATAATCTAACTCTTTGCATTTACATTATAGTTTGATTGATAGTTTTATTTTGCTAAGTACAAGATTTTATTTCATGTTAAAAACAATCAATTTTTCATTGAGTAATTAGTTTGATAGTGTTACATTCAAAATGTAGTCGCTGGAATATGTGTTGTGTAGTGTATGTCTCATATTTAAGAAAAAATCGAAAACTAACAAAAACTGACAAAAACCGATGTAGGCATACAAAATTTATTGGATTTAAATTCAATAAAATAATTTGGACTATAATTTAAATTAAATACATTTTGGTCCAAATAAATATTATGGGCTAATATAATTGGATCAATTCTATATGTCCAATTTATATGTGTTAAATAAATAAGTCTTAATCCATTGGGCTAGCCTATTTAATTGGGCTACAAGTAATGGGCCGAATTCATTAGGCCCAAGATGTCATCTTCCTAGAGGCCCAATTTGGTGCCACGTGTTAAAATGACGAGGCATACCAAGTCACATTGAAAAACCAATAAAATCGCACCACGTGTGCAAGTGACATGTTCTGACCAATCAAATGCGGCCTTGTCACACTTCAATTTGATTGGTTGGAAAGAGTTTGTTCTTATCATAACTCTTCCTTCCAACAACTATAAATAGAGGTCTTCATAACCTAGAAAAAATGCCATAAGTGATAACAAGAAGTAAGAAAGAGCTCGCGGATCAAACGCTGTAAATTCCTCCACAAGTTTCAAGCTTCAAGCAATCAAGTTCAAGTTCAAGAATGAAGAACAAATCAAGTTCAAGCTCAAGGACGAAGAACAAATCAAGATCAAGCTCAAAGGCCCTTGAATTTATATTGGAAAAGTAGAATCAGAGGAACCATAGAGATTGTAACACTCAAATATTTGAAATAAAATACTACGATTGTTACAATATTTTTCGATCTTGATTTTATTTTCTCGACGCAAATTTATTGTCTACAAATTCTGGCACGCCTAGTGAGACAATCTCTACCTCTCATCTCAACTTTTCAATCACCAAAGTTCAAGAACATTGAAATGGCTTCAAAGAAAATTAACTCCAGTTCAACTTCCACGGTTCCACCAAGGCTGCCAATTTCAGGTTCTATGTTGATGTGAAAAGCATCCTTGATATTACCTTTGGAAGCTTTGGACCAGTTACGAGGAGCAAAGCAAGTTCGTTAGGACAACAAGCATCCCAAGTGTCGTCCGCATCAACCCCTGTTTTCGGATCTTCATCCTCAAAAGGAGCAAGATCTTCCACAAACGCACCCGAAGGAGGAAGCGATGTTGCTGAAAAGATCAAGAAAACTCTTGCTCTGCTTGACCTCTCCGGATCCAAGTACTCTGCTGTGAAGGAAGATGGTGATGCTTCAAGTGATGGATCCTCCCCACTTACACCACATAGCGTGATCCAATCGAAGATCAATATGTGTGACAATCCATGCTATTCTCAATAGTCCACGACAATCATGCCAGCCATGGTGACAAACAATTCATCTGTGGAGGAGCAGTTGGCAAAATTGACGGAAGCAATCGCCGGCTTGACCAGGTGCATGCAAAATCAAGATGCTAGAATTGACAAGTTAACAGATAGAGTGGGAATCTTGATGGAAGAAGAACCCATCCATGCATATGGCAAACTCCCAGAGGTTCCAGAGAGTAATTCTCCCCCGAGACAAGTTGCATCCGCTAAGGCTATCCCTGTCTCATCTGAAGTGATAATTACAATCGATCATCTGAAGGAGTTCATTGAAGGAACAATTAAAAACAAGTATGAAGTTGTTACCAAGTCCTCTCTCACATACGCAAAGCCATATACTGCGAGGATCGATATGTTGAAGATGCCTGTTGGCTATCAACCTCCAAAGTTTCAACAGTTTGATAGAAAAGGCAACCCAAAGCAACATGTGGCACACTTCGTTGAGATATGCAACAACGCTGGGAGTTATGGAGAATACCTCGTCAAGCAGTTCGTCCGCTCGCTAAAAGGAAATGCTTTTGACTGGTATACAGACCTCGAGGCGGGATCTATTGATAGCTGGGATCAACTAGAGCAAGAGTTCCTCAATCGCTTTTATAGCACAAGGCACACTATGGGCATGGTGGAACTTAAAAATACTCGTCAACGGAAGGGTGAACCGGTTATCGACTTTATCAATCGTTGGAGGAATTCAAGCCTCAACTGCAAAGACATGCTTAGTGAAGCTTCTGGCATTGAGATGTGCATCCAAGGCATGCATTAGGGACTCCGCTACATCTTGCAAGGTATCAAGCCTAGCACATTTGAAGAACTTGCGACTTGTGCCCATGACATGGAGTTAAGCATGGCCTCCGCTGGAAACAAAAGGCTGCCTATCTATGAGCCTCGCAAAGGGAACGACAAGCAAGAAGTCGGGAAATGGATCAAGTTTTCACCCAAGTCTGAAAATAAAGAAGTTATGAATGTCAACAAATCAGTTGTGAAGTTCACAACGAAGGTGAGCAAGAAGCAGAGTACGAAATCCACTTCTTTTCAAGATAAACCAAGTGGAAAGTTGACTCTAAAAGAAATGCAAGAGAAGGAGTACCCATTTCTGGATTCTGATGTGCCAGCAAAATTTGAAGAACTCATCGAGTTAAATCTTATTGAGCTTCCGGAGATGAAGCGGCCAAATGAAGCTGGTAAAACGAATGACCCAAATTACTGCAAATACCATCGACTCGTGAGCCACCCTCTAGAGAA